ACTGGCCCCCATCCTATGGCCTCTACCTCCCAGCAATTTACCTCCTTGCAGCAAGCAGCAAGAAGAAACAGCCCATTTCAGCTTCAGCACAGCCTAATTAGCACAAGTTGATTGTCCGTTGGATTGGCCTCCCGACTCTCAGTTGTTTCAGGCTGCAGGGATTGCGATTGCCTATTGCTGTGCGGGCCTCTGCTGCTTGCTGTAAGGAGGTAAATTGCTGGGAGCATATTTCTTTTTTCTTGTACTAATCAAGCTAAACTGAAAATAAAAATGAAAGTAAAGCAGGCTATTTGCTCTTTGCTGCAATGAGGCAAAATTGCTGGGAGGCAGAGGCAGATTTCTTTTTCTTCTTTTCTTCACCAAAAAAGGTAGGTGCGTCTTACACTCCAAAAAATATGGTGTATATATATATATATATGTATGTATGTATGTATGTATGTATGTATGTATGTATGTATGTATATATATATATATGTATGTATGTATGTATGTATGTATGTATGTATGTATACACACACATACACCAGGAGTGAAATCTACTTACCTTCCTTACCAGTTTGGAAGTGCACACGCAGTCACATGCGCATGCAGACACATGCGTGTGCAGACCCTCTGTGCATGCACAAAACTTTCTGTGCATGCGCAGAGGGTAAAAAACACATTACTTCCTGGTTAAAACCAGGAACGACACCCGGGTGGGTGGGCGGTGCTTTGCGCCGCCATCGCTATCGGTTCTCTGAACCACCTGCCACAATCGCTACCAGATCGCCCAATCCAGTCAGAACCCCTGATACACACAGAGAGAGAGAGAGAGAGAGGGAGGGAGGAAAGAGAGGATCTATTAGTTTAAACTGTTTATAGCAGTTGTATATAGCAATATAAAGCATCTTATACAGTATATTCCTATTTTTGTATATGCAAAGACACCAAACTAAATTTGAAGTTGTTCAGTTTATTGCTCAAACACAATATACTGATGCAGTGTTTTCCCTTAATAAAAGATACCAAGAGTAGCTGAGGGTCCAGTATGTGCTTAAATCTCCCGGGAACATCTGCCTTAAAGAAGAAAGTTGCTCACAGCTAGCCTAGATTACTTACATTTTCCTTTCCCCAGGTATACAAATACATTCTTGAATAGGCCATACTCCTTGTCTGCCTATTTCTGGTTTTAGCTCTTTGTTACAATGAAATATAAATTTGCAAGCTTCAAACTTAAAACAGCTTATTTAAATAAATAGGGATGAGGTGGCTCAGTGGCTAAGACGATGAGCTTGTCGATTGAAAGGTCGGCAGTTCAGTGGTTCAAATCCTTAGTGCCGCATAACGGGGTGAGCTCCCATTACGTGTCCCAGCTTCTGCCAACCTAGCAATTCTAAAGTACGTAAAAAATGCAAGTAGAAAAAATAGGGACCACCTTTGGTGGAAAGGTAACAGCATTCCGTGTGCCTTTGGTGTTTAGTCATGCCGGCCACATGACCACGGAGATGTCTTCAGACAGCGCTGACTCTTCGGCTTTGAAACGGAGATGAGCATTGCCCACTAGAGTCAGGAACGACTAGCACATATGTGCGAGGAGAACCTTTACTTTTACCTTTGTTTAAATAAACATATTTTATTTATTTAAAATATTTATATAGCCACCTATTTTATATATTCTCTGGGTAGCTCCCAATCAACAATTAAATCAACATCAATTGTGTATGTATTCACACACACACATTAAAAACCTGGCACCCAAGTTCCACATGCCACCCCCCATTAAATCCTCTTGTCCACTTTACCCTATTCCAACACATGGGGGAAAGCCAGGTATTAAGTGTTTTTGGAAAGCTAGGACCGTAGAGGCTTACCAAATTTCAAGGGTAGGGATATTGCATGTGGTAGGCATGCTTCCTAGATCCCATAAGATGGTAACATTTAGGGTAAGGGATTAGGAGCATGCCCACCCTATCTGATCTGATAGGAAGGGTGGATTTCTTTAGAGAAAGGCTATCCCACAGGTAATCTGGCCCTGTGCCATATAGGATTTTAAATGTAGCAACCAGCACCTTGAATTGCATCTGGAAGGAAACAAGAGGCAGTGCAGCCAACAGAGGTGTCACTTGGATAACCCTGGGGACATCCATCACTGACAAGCTGCTGCATTCTGGACCAGTTGTAACTTCTATGTGGTCATCAAGGGCAGTCCCATGTAGAGTGGATTGGAGTAATCCAAAGAAGCAGTGGTGGGTTGCTCCCGGTTCGGTCTGGTTCTATAGAACCGGTAGTAAAACTGGCAGGAGGCTCCGCCCACCTGCCACAACATCATCATGGGTGATCTGCGCACGTGCACTTGCTCCCGCTGCAAACCGGTAGTAAAGGTAAGTAGAACCCACCTCTGCAAAGAAGTGACTAAAGCAAGGCCTCCCAGTTCAGAAAATGATGCAATTGGAACACTAAAGAAATCTGGGCAAAGATTCCCCTTAGTCACCTGGTCCTCAAGCAGGAACTATGGATTTAAAATGTGCAATTTAGATGGACTCCTAAAATGGCATACCAGCTCAAACCAAGGGAGTACCACCTTGTCCAAGTCAGATGAAATATCACCTGAGCCTGAGCAAAGCCCCAAAGCCACTCCATCTTTCCAGGGTTGAGATGAAGCCAGTTCCTCCCCTTCCAGACCCTTATAATCTCTAGGCACTCAGCTAGCACCAAACTTGTATTACCTATCTAGCTATGGGTGGAGATATATAACTGAGTATTATTAGCATACTCCATACTTATGGATAACCTCTTCCAGCAGTTTCATGTAGATGTTAAAAGTTTATGTATTCTGGAATGGATTTTCAATCAGTGCTCTTGCTAGCTATTTCTATTAGCATTGGTCCTCTGCTGTACACAGACACTTAAAATGAATTAGATCCCATGAACTCCGTAGGATTTATTTCAAACTAGACAAACGTAGGATTGTTCTATTCCCTGACCAGGCTGTAACTACTGCCCAATTTGTGTCTCCTTATATCATTACAGTTGCACCATTAGCTGCACTGAGATGCATAAAATTAGAATTAACAAGAATAGTAGAGTCCTGGTTTCCCAACGTGACTGTTTGATTCTTCAGGTCATGGGTAAGCTGTTGTGGGTTTTTTACCCAGTAATAACAAACTATAATCAACTCCAATGTTTGAATGCTGCCAACCTTTAGCGCATCATTTGGACATTGTTACAAAGCTAAAATAGACAAACAGCGCCAATATTTCAGCCCCCGAATAATCTGCTGAAGCTTATTTCAGCTCCACACTGACTAATATTCCTTTTACGGTGCTGAAAGATTAAATATATTATGAAATGTTTATTTGAAGGAAAATTAATTCTCATTTTGCCATCTGAGGCTTTGGGCAGATTGCCTAACAGCTTAAGAATTTGCTGCAATGTTTAGCTTGGCAAGTTGGCATGGCTGCAACATTCAATTTTTTTTTCTTTCTTTCTTTTTCATTTTGCCTGCGATCATTTTTCTGCTTGTTCAGGAAATCAGTCTCCCTGGACTTGTGAAAGCAGGAAGGTCTGGAACTGGTCAAGGTGTGTCACTCAATTAAATCTATGAGGTCATCTCTCATAGAAGTAAAGGCGAGGCTCAGAGAAATGGGACTGTTCTTTTTTCTTTTACTATCAACACTACAGTAAGAGATGAGATGTAAAACCACTGCATACATCGGAAAGGAATCCACACAGGCTGTATAATAAGCAACCCAGATAGATGTATTCTTCTGTTACTCTATTATATTTCTTAATATAAAATCTGGCTCAAGTCTATGGTTGTTGTTGTTTTTCTTGCCAGCTTCTCAAAAAGCAGGAATTCAGCAGAGGCAGAATGATCCACCACAATCTCAACACACCAGAAAAGGCAGAACAAAATTCAAAACGTGCAATTACTAAAGTCACAACAACTTTGTGGTGGCAAGTGGAGTGGGCTGGGGTGGGGGAAGGAATACCCATGCCTTTAATCTTTACAATTTTGTTCTTCCACCCAGATTTTAGTAATGAAGTGCTTGGGCTTATACCATATTTTTCAGAGTATAAGACGCACCGGAGTATAAGACGCACCTACCTTTTTTGGTGAGGAAAAGAAGAAAAAGAAATCTGCCTCTGCCTCTGCCTCTGCCTCTGCCTCTGAGCAATTTTGCCTCATTGCAGCAAACAGCCTGCTTTACTTTCATTTTCATTTTCAGCATAGCTTGATTAGCACAAGGGGGAAAAAAATCTGCTCCAGCAATTTATCTCTTTGCAGCAAGCAGCAGAGCCCTGCACAAAACAGCTGAGAGCAAATCAGCTGAGAGTTCGGAGGCTGATCCAATCAACTTGTGCTAATTAGGCTGTGCTGAAGCTGAAAGGAGCTGGTTTTTCTTTCTGTTTGCTTGCAAGGAGGTCACCACTTGCTTGCAAGGAGGTCACTGCTGTGAGGCAGAGGCCAAAGGGTGGGGGCCAGTGGGTGGGTGGGGCTACATTTGGTGTATAAGACGCACCTAAATTTTCACCCCCTTTTGGAGGGGGAAGGTCTTATACCCCGAAAAATACGGTATTTGGATTACAAAAAGGGAAACAGTACAGTGCGCTTGGATTTCAATGTTGAAAGTTATGCAAATTGTACATTTGGATTCTTTGTAATCTCTGGAACACTTTCTTCTCATTTCAGTTTTCCTTCTTGGCTTAGCACTTTTAAAATCCTTATGCTGCATGATAGCTTGCTAGTCACATTGTCACCTATTCGTTATGTGTATTTGGAAGAAAAATTTTGACAGCTATTATATGGAGCTTCTATACCTGTCCTAAACATCACCGTTTTGATGGGCAGCAGGTTCTTCTTCATCTTTTATAGCAGCCTCTTCCAAGATTTTTTTTTTAATCCCCCCTCCTACTAAATCTCTTTCTATGTTTATTTATTTCTAGCACTCTATCCTAACATAGATGGAGAAAACAATTCAGCCAATCTAGACCTTTGAAGGAAAAGGTGTAGGTCAGACCTGAAATATCCTGCACATGAGGGATCCATTGTAGTTCTTAAGACCTGGCACTCATCCCAGTTTATGCATATCTCACGAGAAGTAATGCATGCCATATTTCAGGAAAGGAAATTAAGCGCACAGTAAAGTCAAGTCTCCTTCAAATCTAGTTTGACTCCTGGTGACCTCATAAAGATGACCAAGTAGTTTTCTTGGCAACAGTAGCTAGGTAAGGGGTCCTTGATGCTCCCCTGAGCTTGGTTGTTTTCTTGCAGATGTTTTATTATCCAAACCAGGTAACATCATCGATGAAACAAAATTGCAAGAAAACAACCAAGCTCAAAGAGCATCAGGGAGCTCCCATTTCAACCCTGAGCTACAAATATTCTCCTTTATTGATATCCTGCACAGTTAGATGAATGCTACTTGAGGAGGAATGGAAAGGGCTACATTTAAATAGCTGCTTTTTTTTTAAAAAAAAAAAAACCCTCTTCTCTCTTACCTGATGAAGTCTCAATGGGTTATCTTCTGGAAGAATGCTGGATACAAAATGCCTCTTCCTTTCTAATAAGGTGAGACAGAAATGGCATTCAGCTGATTTCAGCAAGAAGTGTTCTTTGCCTTAGTTATATTTATTCTTGCTCATGAAAAAGAGAAAGGAGGTGAGTTGATATTTCAGAAGACTTCCTGTGACCTTCCCTTTCTACAAATGGCAATGAATCGTGTGGTGATATTTATAGGGTCTGCTGCAAATTTGACAAAAAGCGTAGAATATCTCTGAAAACTATTCACAGATTTTCAATGGTTGCATAGGTAATTCCTTATAGCTTGTTCCCAGTGGTGAAAACCAATTTTTTTTACTACCTGTTCTGTGGGCGTGGCTTGGTGGGCGTGGCGTGGCTTGGTGAACGTGGCTTGGTGGGTGTGACAAGGGAAGGGTACTGCAAAATCTCCATTCCCACCCCACTCCAGGGGAAGGGTACTGCAAAATCTCCATTCCTACCCCACTGTGGGGCCAGCCAGAGGTTGTATTTGTTGGTTCTCTGAACTGCTCACAATTTCCACTACCGGTTCTCCAGAACCTGTCAGAACCTGCTGGATTTCACCTCTGCTTGCTCCTCATGCCTCCTCCCTGTTTCCTGAAAACTGTGACCTATTCTTTTTCAAAACAAGTGTTTAAGTCTTGCACATAAGGAAGATCTCAATGTGAAATCGTTTTATTTATCAAAATAAAATCTGGGTTGATAAATCTGGGTTCATGTGAATCCAGGACGCTACGGCAAAAAGGCTGCCATCTGGAGCCCACATCATAAAGGATTGTTAATAAGGATTGTTAAACACTCTTCTATGTTTTGGACAGTAGCTATCACCATTCTTGTAATGGAGGACCTGGATTTTTTTCAAACCTCTTCACCTGTGGAATTCATTGTTGCCTTGTTTCAGCAGCACACAATAAGAAATATTACAAAGGAAACAAGACAATTATTATTGTTTTGATTGTAAAAGTCAACCTTTTACAAGATGTCCTGTTGTATTCGGACTTCTGCAACACCCAAAAGCATCAGGTGAGCTGTTTTATTTCTTTAGAGATAGTACACTTAGAATGGGAATTTCAGTAGTGGGAAAATGAACCATGGCTCTGACTTTCTAATAGAGTATGTTTCTAAGAACAGCTTTTTTAGTGAGGGACTGGATTTTAGTGTATCATTGCAATGCACAATTTTAAGGTCAGGTGGATTGTTGTCATCTTGTCATTTCCTCTTCCCCACAAAAATAAAATAAATAAATTGAAGAAATTATTTTTCTTTTCTTCTTCTTTAAAATTTATATATTTTTTTTAAAAAAGAAAGAAATCTCTGATATGCTACGTTTCAGTTGTACAAAGATATTACTATGTTGATACACTTGAAGGGTTTCCTTCTATTTTTAATGAATGGCATAGACAATTCCTAATTCTGTCCTGTTTGGTGCCTTGGGATTTCATTTAGTTTATTTATTTTATTTATTTATTTATTTATTAAATTTTTATACCGCCCCCTCTCCCGAAGGACTCGGGGCGGTGAACAGCCAGAATTAAAAACACACAATACAAATATTAAAATACATTAAAACGAAATTAAATTGTCTTTGGCTTCTCCAATTTAAAACCCCTTACCCATAAAATTCCCCAATTCTGTTTGGATAAAAGAAAATTATGCACACATACAACTGAAACAAAAACAACCATTGTTTAAGGCCCTATTCTTCAAAATACATTGGTAAAGTCTAGAATCATCAAGTCAAATATGGACTATGTCATTGAGCTGAACTCCCTGCTTAATATAAGAATTCAAATTAAATCATTTGTGAGAGAAGGTTGTTTACTCTTCAGAAGCCATCCCTTTCCTCTGATCTCACGTCTTTGTTTGATTCTCTTCCTTAAGAAGAATTTTGTCTGTTCTAATGTTGCCGTTATTTAATAAGAAAAATCTTCACCTCTCATCACTGTTCTAGTGATTTGACTCTTTTCCAAGGACTGCTATACAAGTATACACGTGCTATGAGAAACTGTTCTGACGTTAGAACATAAACTTGCCACAACGATTGCAGTTCATCACTGGATATTCTTGGCTTCCGTGAATTAACTTTCAATCAGTGGAAGCTTTTCATTTCTTCTTCCCTTCTCAGACTAGCTATGTACACAATGACCACTTAGAAAAAAATGTAACAACTTCCCTAAAGTCCACCCCCCCATACATACCTTTAATTCCACTGGCAAATTTATATTAGCAATAGCAATAGCACTTAGATTTATATACCGCTTTACAGTACTTTACAGCCCTCTCTAAGCGATTTACAGAATCAGCATACTGCCCCCAACAGTTTGGGTCCTCATTTTACCCACCTCAGAAGGATGGAAGGCTGAGTCAACCTTGAGCCTGGTGAGATTTGAATTGCCAAATTGCAGGCAGCCGGCAGTCAGCAGAAGTAGCCTGCAGTACTGCACTCTAACCACTGCACCACTGTGGCTCAATATATTATTTGCTCTTTTACTCAAAGTGATCTGCTATCAATGATACAATTATTTCTTATGTACCATGATAAAAAAAAGGGGGAAGAGGATCTATTTTCCTCAAAGAAGTTAGTTTTCGTATTAGTTATATATGTAGTTTTTTCCATATTTCTCTTTTCTTTTCTATGAAATGCCATACTGTCAAATTAATGCTTTGGCCACTTCCAATACTAGATTATACATTAATGTTATATTAGTTGCCTAAGTGTTCCAGAACCTATTTTCAAAAGCTTCCCTTCAATGTTTGATGTTTTCATGAGTTTATAAAGGACAATTGTCCTTCTGTTCAAAATCAACAGATGTTTGAAGTGCTGATGTTCTTCCAATTGGAATTTGCTTGCTTTCTTACTTTTAAAACACTTTTTGGAATGAGAATTCAGCTATTCATGTCTATCATGTGTCATGAATCTGTTTTAAGCAACAAGTTAGGTCCAACCCATTAATTTTAATTAACACTTAATTTCACACAGTAGAAACATAACTGATACCAGGAAAATGGTATAAGAGGAAAACCACCATGTACTTAAATACTTATAGCAGTGGTGAAATTCAATTTTTTTTACTACTGGTTCTGTGGCCGTGGCGTGGTGGCCGTGGTGTGGCTTGGTGGGCATGGCAGGGGAAGGATACTGCAAAATCCCCATTCCCTCCCCACTCTTGGTGGAAGGATATTGCAAAATCTCCATTCCCACCCCACTCTGAGGCAAGCCAGAGGTGGTATTTACTGCTTCTCTGAACTACTCAAAATTTCCTCTACCGATTCTCCAGAACCTGTCAGAACCTGATGGATTTCACCCTTGTCTTATAGGTTTCAAATATTTTTTTTTCATTCTAGTCATACATTGTAGGTAGGGTCTCTACAGAGTAACCCTATATCTACTACTATTTGATTATTTCCCTAGCATTTTCTTTTTTAATTTGGGATATTTTGCTCTGATTTATTTTTCACAGTTGTACCCATTTATGATGCCACTCATTCACTTATAATATCCCACAAAGGTATCCCAAACCCATGGAAGTTCCTTTGAAGTGACTTTTGAATAAGTTCTCACTTCCTACATCCAGAATATTGTTTGAAATGTCACCCCCCCACATCAAAAGTCCCGATTACTAAAAAGATCTAACTACAGTTTGGTGAAACTGGATCAAAAAATAGCAAGAACATCCTTAGACTATTTCAGTAGGAACTATCCTATGACTAGGTAGAAATGCCACTACTTGATGTTGACTCAATACAAATATGTATTTTAAAGATTAAACCTGGGCACAAACTGAAAGTTTTCACATGCAGTGAATCATAAAACGCATAGTCTATTTTGCACTTATTTGTGGGGACTATGTGAATCAGCCTTGGGTCTACTGTTTAAACACAGAAGCTCTTTTTTTAAAAAAAAATACAAAAAGGTTTTTAATGTTCATTCAGTACGAGAGGGAGTTTTATAAAGCTGGATTGTCTCTCTCTCTCTCTCTCTCTCTCTCTCTCTCTCTCTCTCTCTCTCTCTCTCATTTCTTTATCCCCTTAAAACCCTTTCAGATCAATAGAAAGTCCCTTTTTTCCAGGCCATAAATATATTCACCAATCAGTATGTGTCTTTAGTTCGTCTCATCTCTTCAACATATGTCTTGACATTTGAAAAGAATGTTTGGCAGGTGAAGAAAGCAAGCAAGAAAAAAAAAAGTCCCTTTCTCATTGTGCAATGAGATTTTGTTCTCTGGTCTGTCTGTCAGACAGCCCTGAAATGAAACCATTCTTCAAGGCATGTTCCCAGCTGGACAGTAGCTCCGTGACAATGGACAACTCAGCAGCAACTGAAGTGATAGAAGAACTGTCTGACTCAAATTTTTCTGATGAATCAAGGCCTACAAGCTTTAGATCTGCAGGAACGACTGTGGCCAATTTCTCTTCTGTGTTTTCCCTTATTTCATTATTTCTGACACTGCTGAGATGAAGCTTTGTTATATACCACAAGCCTGTGGCAGTGGACTGGGGAGATAAGAGTTTGCTAAGACAGAGAACACACAAGCTGAGAAAATGTGTGGAAAATTGAAATGACAAGGGTGTGTTGATAGTTTGTTATTTCTGAGCAATTGTGTCTGGATTAAAAAGGTA